TGAAGTAAAAGTAAAAGTTACTCAAAATAAAACTACTCCAGTAAAGTACAGATACTTGAAAAATGTACTTAAGTACAGTAACGAATTAAAACTACTCCGTTACTGTCCACCACTGTTTTTGTGAAACACAGTAGTCGCTGCAAAAGAGTCCAAAATAGAGCGAGATCAGGTATTATTAGCTCCTTGTTAATGATGATAAAATGATGATGATTTTAGTTTTGTTTTTGGCGTTTACAGCCACCAAACCTTGTGAAGTTGCAGTACTGGCACCAAGAGTATTGAAATGATCAGTTATTCTGTAGATGGATAAAATGCATGTGCATGGGATATAGTAAACCCATGATGTAGTCACACGCAGACATCAAGATTTTGCACATGAATCACAGCAGCGGTGACAATCAAAACAAACAAAAAAGCTTCATGCTGCAATGCATGATGGGTGGCTTCATAGTACAAACTCATCCTTAAATCCCAAGCTTTTTTGTTTTGATTGTCACCGTTGTTGTGATTCATGTACAAAATCTTGATGTCTGTGCGTGACTATACGAAGCATTTACTTAAAATAGCTCATGCATTTTGTCCATCTTCAGAATAAGCGATTAGCTTGCTCTTGGTGCCAGTACTGCAACTTCGCAAGGTGTCTTGGCTATAAATACCAAAAACAAAGTTGAAATCCACAACATCAGATGCTCATTTTGTCATCAGCCTCAAGGAGCTAACAACACCTGATTTCACTTTATTTTGGCCTCTTTTGCAGCAACTATTGTGCTTCACAAAAACACAATTATAGCAGCCAAAGAAAAGTTAGCACACGAAGTATGAGGACCAAGATCCCAACTAAAGCAAACACTGTCCACGACAATGGTGACTTCAAATGTAACAAATACCAACATCTAAACCTCTCTTAATTCTCAATAAGAGCTTCTCTAGATCAGTGGTTCCCAACCCTGGTCCTGGAGGCACCCCAACACTGCACGTTTTGCATGTCTCCTTAATCAAACACACCTGATTCAGGTCATCAGCTCATTAGTAGAGACTCCAAGACCTGAAATTGGTGCGTCAGAGAAAGGAGACATGCAAAATGTGCAGTGTTGGGGTGCCTCCAGGACCAGGGTTGGGAACCACTGCTCTAGATGACAGAAATAAAGTCAATCTAATGAGTGAAGCTGGTGATACTGTTTGTGGAGATGTTTAAAGGGGTCATATGATGAGATTTCAATTTTTCCTTTCTCTTTGGACTGTTACAAGCTCCGGCCGGAACACGGCATCACAAGGCGTGTTTCCATTACAGATTTGCGTAAAACTTTGGCGATATTTTATAAATGTCGATAAAAAAGTATTGCGAAATGACGGCGTT